ATTAATCTCTCCTCGATCATCATGAAGGTGAATGATATAATATTATGTCTTTACTGGATATAAATGTAAAACTCCTTAGTCTGACCCCAGGGCCATGAAAAAAAAAAATGAGAGAATTCCTAACCTTCAAAAATAATGATACCATACGTATTTCAATCACTTATTATTCAACAGTGATGAATATTTAGGTCTATATTTTGCTAGCATTTGTTTTCACAATGGAATCTATTTAAAAGACCACGTGATATTTTCTAGTGTGTTTACCTTGTATTGTTCTATATAATGCTGACTCATTCTTTGTGTTATTGTCTTTGATTTATCCGTGCGTAAACAGGTAAAGGACATTTTATTTAATACATTACATGTTTTGGGAAAAAACTGTAAAACAATATGCATTCTAATTGTATTTCTTCAAACACGGTATATATTTTTAGAAATACTTCGCACCTTTACATAACAACAGTCATCACATATATATTTCTGATGTCATAACGGAACAACACGTGTTGAATTTATTTTAAGGCATGACATGTCATGTGCTAGAACATTCTAAACCAATAATACCGCGAATTGAGATCACATGGTCATACCGTATAAATACCGAATGCCCGGATGCCAGACAGAACGTAACGAAGGAAGATTTAGTGAGAAGACGCCTTGTTATTTTATTGCGCACATTTTAACTAGGCTAACAACAAAGGTAAGGAAAAATTTAAGTCTGGTAAATTTCTTATAAAGTGTTTGGTATCATTAAAAAAAATTTTCTTGTCCATTTAGATTGTAAAGAATATTGTGAAAGTAAACAGTTTCCTGATTTTCATTCATAGTCGCCATCTTGAAAACAAAGGAGTTTACAAACAAAATTGTTACTTTTATAAGTATCGTGAACACAGTTTTATCATTTTAAGAGAAATTTTAAATAAATTTATTTGAAATCTTTAAATTTTATTGATTTTTGAATGACTACGTGGACCTTGTTGTTAATTTATATGGATAGAAAAGGGGCTTCATGGCTTGGGTCTATGTGAAAAACGTAGAAAATAGAATTTTCTTTAAAAAAAAAATTATGAACGCTAAAATAAGTAAAACTTAGTTGATCTTTTGTTATCTATAGCGTTTAAATAGTGATTTATTACATTTTTAGAACGATGCAGATCTTTGTGAAAACCCTGACTGGAAAAACCATAACACTTGAGGTCGAGCCATCTGACACTATTGAAAATGTCAAGGCCAAAATTCAGGACAAAGAGGGAATTCCCCCAGACCAGCAGAGATTGATCTTCGCTGGGAAGCAGTTAGAGGATGGTCGCACACTGTCCGACTACAATATCCAGAAGGAATCCACACTTCACTTGGTTCTGCGTTTGAGAGGAGGAATGCAGATCTTCGTCAAGACCCTCACCGGGAAAACCATTACTCTAGAGGTGGAACCATCCGACACCATTGAAAATGTCAAAGCTAAAATCCAGGATAAGGAGGGAATTCCCCCAGACCAACAGAGATTGATCTTTGCCGGAAAGCAGCTGGAAGATGGCCGTACACTATCTGACTACAATATTCAGAAGGAATCCACACTTCACTTGGTTCTGCGTTTAAGAGGAGGAATGCAAATTTTCGTCAAGACTCTAACTGGGAAAACCATTACATTGGAAGTAGAACCCTCTGACACTATTGAAAATGTGAAAGCCAAAATTCAGGACAAAGAGGGAATTCCCCCAGACCAACAGAGATTGATCTTTGCAGGAAAACAGCTGGAAGATGGCCGCACATTGTCAGACTACAATATCCAGAAAGAATCAACTCTCCATCTAGTACTTCGTCTTAGAGGAGGAATGCAAATCTTTGTGAAAACCTTGACTGGAAAAACCATCACTCTTGAGGTGGAACCCTCTGACACTATTGAAAATGTGAAGGCCAAAATTCAGGACAAAGAAGGAATTCCCCCAGACCAGCAGAGATTGATCTTTGCCGGAAAACAGCTGGAAGATGGCCGCACATTGTCCGACTACAATATCCAGAAAGAATCAACTCTCCATCTAGTACTTCGTCTTAGAGGAGGAATGCAAATCTTCGTCAAGACCCTCACAGGGAAAACCATTACTCTTGAGGTGGAACCATCTGACACTATTGAAAATGTGAAGGCCAAAATTCAGGACAAAGAAGGAATTCCCCCAGACCAACAGAGATTGATCTTTGCCGGAAAGCAGCTGGAAGATGGCCGTACACTATCTGACTACAACATCCAAAAAGAATCGACTCTTCATCTAGTACTTCGTCTTAGAGGAGGAATGCAGATCTTTGTCAAGACCCTCACAGGAAAAACCATTACATTAGAGGTGGAACCCTCTGACACTATCGAGAATGTCAAAGCTAAAATCCAAGACAAAGAAGGAATTCCCCCAGACCAACAGAGATTGATCTTTGCCGGTAAACAGTTGGAAGATGGCCGTACACTCTCCGACTACAATATTCAGAAGGAATCCACACTTCACTTGGTTCTGCGTTTAAGAGGAGGAATGCAAATCTTTGTCAAGACTCTAACTGGGAAAACCATTACATTGGAAGTAGAACCCTCTGACACTATTGAAAATGTGAAAGCCAAAATTCAGGACAAAGAGGGAATTCCCCCAGACCAGCAGAGATTGATCTTTGCCGGAAAACAGCTGGAAGATGGCCGCACATTGTCCGACTACAATATTCAGAAGGAATCCACACTTCACTTGGTCTTGCGTCTGAGAGGAGGAATGCAAATCTTTGTGAAAACCTTGACTGGAAAAACCATCACTCTTGAGGTGGAACCCTCTGACACTATTGAGAATGTCAAGGCCAAAATTCAGGACAAAGAGGGTATTCCCCCAGATCAACAGAGATTGATCTTTGCCGGTAAACAGCTGGAAGATGGCCGCACGCTGTCCGACTACAATATCCAGAAGGAATCCACACTTCACTTGGTTCTGCGTCTGAGAGGAGGATTTTAAACTTGGAGTATTTTAACTTGTAACATATTAAGTATTATTTATAAAAAGACTTGAGAAATGTTTTTATCAATGTTTAATGCCATCTGAAAATTATGCCTATTAAAAGTTTACAACATAAAACTGTGTTTGCATTTAGAGGTGCATGTAAAAAAAAAAAATGTTTAAAATGAGATTATAGGGAAAAAAACATAAATTTGCTAAATTATATTAATATAATTTCAAATTAATGACTGATAAATGAGAGGTATTCAGAAGAGGAACAAGGAAATATTCAAAAAATTGTGGTCCCCCTTCTTTTGGTGTCTTTTCGGTGAGATGTCATTTTTAGCTCAACTGAGCTGAAGGCTCAAGTGAGCTTTTCTGATCACATTTTGTCTGGCATCCTTCTGTCTGTCTAGCTGTCTGTCTGTTAACTTTTCACATCTTCGACTTCTAAAGAACCCCTAGGCGAATTTCAATCAAACTTGCCACAAAACATCCTTGGGTGAAGGGGATTCCAGTTCGTTCAAATGAAGGGCCAGGCATTCATTCAAGGAGAGATGATGGGAATTTGGAAAAAATTTGGTGGAATGAGGCCATTCCAAGCTTGCTCTATCAGACTATGTTTAGCATCCGCGTGCGCCTTGGTTTTTGACATCCCATATAAGAAAAAAACACACAACATCAGGATTCCTGAAATTGATTAATTTAGTCGAAATTTTTGAATTTTGTCCATTTCTCCAAATAATTCTGTACAGTAAGTTATATTGGGTTATTTTAAGCATGTAATCCCTTGTTTTTGCTTAAGAACAAATATTTCTTCTATTATTAAAAGCAGTTTAGTTAGATCAAATCATTTGAAGGGCGTCATTTTTATGACTTTTAAGCCTGTGTTTATGTTTTGGTTTGTGTGTGTGTGTTTTTTGCGAATAGGTAGGTAGGTTTTTGAAAGATGGGTGGACGCTAAACAGAAAAAAAAACTTCGAATGGCCTGATTTAACCACTGTACTAGGAAAGATGAAACTTATGGGGAAACATCCTCAGGTAGTGTAGATTCAAATTTGTTCAAATCAAGACCCCTGGGGGTAGGGCGGGGCCAAAAAGGCCGACCAAAGTTTTACATAGAAACATACAGGAAAATTCTTTAAAAATCATCTTCTTAAGAATAGAAAAGCTATAATTGATCATATTTATATGGAAGCATCCTCAGATAGTGTTGATTCAAGTTTGTTCAAATCATGACCCTCAGGGTTAGGGCGGGACCACAATAGCCGACAACAAATTTACATAGAAATATGTAGGAAAATTCTGTAAAGATCTTCATCTCAATAATAGCTATAGCAAAGAATTAATTGATCATATTTATATGGAAGCATTCTCAAGTAGTATAGATTCAAGTTTGTTCAAATCATGACCCCCCGTAGGTAGGGCGGGGTCAAAATGGCCGAAGTTTTACAAACTGATAGAAATATATAGGACATTCTTTAAAAGTCTAGCTTCTTCTTAAGAATAGCAAAGCCATAATTCATCATATTTATATGGAAGCATCCTCAGGTCCTGTAGATTCAAGTTTGTTCAAATCATGACCCCCGGGGGTAGGGCGGGGTCAAAATGGCCAATCAAAGTTTTACATAGAAATATATAGGAAATCCTTTTAAAAATCTTCTCAAGAATTGCAAAGCCATAATTGCTCATATTTATAATATGGAAGCATCCTCAGGTTGTGTAGATTCAACTTTGTTCAAATCATGACTCCGGGGGTAGGGTGGGGCCACAATGGCGGATCAAAGTTTTACAAAGACATATACATGTAGGAAAATTCTTTAAAAATCATCTTCTCAAGAATAGCAAAGCCATGATGGTCATGGGACTACTTTTGGATATAAACTTTTCAATAATAAACCAATTTCTACTTTTCCCAGCCAAAATGCTCAGGTGAGCGATGTGGCCCATGGGCCTCTTGTTAGAACATATTGTGTCAAATATGAAGCTCTATCATACATTATTTAAAAATTATTACCGAAGTGGATTTTTATGCGCCCGGATTGATAAATCCGGAGCGTATATTGTTTTTGTCCTGTCTGTCTGTTTGTCTGTTTGTCTGCAAACTTTAACCTTCGCCATAACTTTTGAATCATGAAAGATAGAGACTTCATATTTGGTATGCACACTCCACTAATTAAGCTCTTTAAAATGACACCAAGTCATTGACCTTGTGACCTTGACTGGGACCTATATGCTAAAAATAGCTTTTTATCTTCAAACTTTAACCTTCGCCATAACTTTTGAACCATGAAAGATAGAGACTTCGTATTTGGTATGCATCCTCCACTAATTAAGTTCTTTGATACGACACCAGGGCCAATGACCTTGTGACCTTGACTGTAACCTGTATGCTTAAAATAATTAATCACTGAAGCCCCTGTATGACAACATAGCCAAGATTATTTTTTCCTAAATGCAAATTAAATACATTGGTACTAAAAGTAGCGTCTTCTCACAAGAAATTCGATTGTGAAATATGAAAGCCCTAGCACCATCTGTTCAAAAGTTATGACCAAGGATAAGTTTTTGAAGGGTACATATGTAGTTATGTACGTCAAACTCCAAGGTCGAAGATGTTGGTTTCTTAAGAAAGGTCTTGTCACAAGTATTACATATGTGAAGTATGAAAGCCCTAACCCTAACGTTTGTTTATTAAAAGAAGGTCAAACCTCAAGGTTTTGTGACAGGTGCTAAGGCTTTCAAACTTCATATATGTAATACTTGTGAGAAGAACTTTTATCGGATACCAAGAACTTTGACCCTTTGACATAGAACGGTTAAGGCTAGGGCATTCATACTTCACATATGTAATACTTATTACAAGACCTTTCTTAAGAAACCAGCAACTTTGACCTTGGAGTTTGACATACCTTTCAAACATTTATCCTTGGCCATAACTTTTGAACAGGTGGTGCTAGGGCTTTCATATTTCACAATCATATTTCTCGTGAGAAAACCCTACTTTGGGTACAAATATATATATAATTTGCATTTAAGAAAAGATTAATCTTGGCTATATGTTGCTATACGGGGTCATCAGTGTTTCACAAACACATTTTATTCCTAAAACTTTTGATTTAGAGGAGATAATGCTTTCATATTTGACATGTGCATTTACCAGCGGGACAAGGTATTTCCGAGCATGCTATGATTTCTGATCCTTTCATCTTGACCTTCACGATTTACCTTATTTTTTAAACAAGACGTCTTTGTGTACATCTGTGAAATATGAAAGATAGAGCCCTCCCCATTCAATAGTCATGGGTTAGGTTAAAGTTGACAACAGACAGACAGAGTGACAAACAGACAGGACCCCTCGGAATTTTCGATCGCAGGCATGATCTGGGGGCATAAAATCTGCGTTTTTACCGTCTCGACATTTTTCAGCTAGCCATATTGTATTTTCGATGTATTACTTACACCTGGCCTGAACAGGGTGTAGATGTTGTACACCTTAAGTGTACACTCGATTATGGAAAACTGTACACCAGGTGTAAATTTAGTGTAGACATATGAAGAGCGCACAAACATTTTTTCCATAGGCGCTCCCCATGTAATTCTGTAAATGACGTATGATAAGTATATATAGGTCTACCCCTCTATGCTGTAAAATCATAGTGTGAAGGTGTAGACCTATATACATGTACATGTATACTTATCGTATGTCATTTACAGAATTACATGGGGAGCGCCTATGATTTTTTCGACGTATTACCCTTAAAAAGTAAAATGGAAAAAGTAGCCGCAATATGGCACGGAAAGCGTTTTTATTAAATATAATGGGGACTATTTGGAAGGGGGGTAAACCAGGGTAATATTTACTTTCAGATATACAGTAATTTTGCATAAATTAAGCTTCTTTCGAGGGTCAAAATTGAGTAACATCAGTTACAAAATACATGTGTAGCGTTAAACAGCATGTTCAGTGTTTGATGGTTTTTGATGGTTTTACTTTCCCAACATTAGCTCAGTGTTATAAACATTTATCTTTCTTTTTAAACAATTTATATCCCAGACCTTAATCTATAACAACATATAAACTAACATCACTAGAAAAAAGGCAGCTGCCAGTGTGTTAATCATAACTATAATTATACATTACGTATATCTAAAAAAAAGTGCATCCATTGTTCATATAAAGTAATATTTTGTTTTATGAAAAGTTTATTACAAAGCTGGTTCCATTCTTGTGCATTTCATGTTTCCCTATCATCGACCAGCATTGCTTCACTCAGAGTTCCTTGGATGGTTCTCACCTCGCACATAACCTCGGGGTTTGAATGGAGCGCATTCGGCAAATTGAGCTTTGCGGAATTAGCCGAGGATTGCCGATTGCCATTAGACGTCATTATGAAATACGTCACAATCACGGTGGCGTCTTTGAATTGTGACGTCACAATAACTTATACCCTCACAACGGAGGCAAAACATAAGTATTGAAGTCATTAGCAGTGAAACCATTATGGTAATCTAGAAAATTTGGTTATTTCATTGGCACTTGATTTAAATTATGTCTACTATTAACAATTACATGTTAATTATTAGATTGCTTTTTTTTCCTGATTCACAGGAACCTAAGTACAAGAAAAGTAAGGAATATTTTGGAAGTTTGGGAGATTCAGAAAGTGATTGGATAGGCAATACTTGGTCAGAATTCAAAAACGGTACAGAATACCTAGAATGGTTGGAGCGAGAACTTCCATATATAGAGGTATAGGAAAATGCATATTTCATTGTGCCTACTTCAGTATATAAAATGAACCTCAAATGTAACATTTTAAAATGACTGAATGATTTTGATGCATTTAATTTTTGAAATCGTGATTATATATAAGATACCGTTTTTAAAGGAATTTGAAGCCAGTGATGCAGTTCAGTACTACTTTTTTCGGAGCTGGAGCAAACATAGATCATACTTTCCCGAAATGGAACCTTTAAGTATTATTTAGAGAACTCGACGGGTTCTGTATCGTAGATACAAATTTGGGGGTGGATACGAGTGTGCAGCACGAGTCTCCACCCCCAAATTTGTATCTACGATACAGAACCTGTCGAGTTCTCTAAATGATTTGTGACACGATCAATCAAAAATAGCTCCGCCCTCTGCTAATTAGCAATACAGAACGGGACTGTGGTGGGCGGAGCTACTTTCCGTTCTGCATTAGCCTTGTTTACAGTATTGCATTTGCCAACTATTCTGTATCTAAAATACAGCACGGTCTAAAAATAAATCTGATTCAATTTAGCAAAGCTAGCACGTACACACAATAAATACATGTACTGATGTTTTCCTATTATTAATTTTTAAGAAATACTCGGTTTTTTCCTGAGAATGCAGAATGTCAAAATTTCTAAATCACTTTTTAAAAACTTATTCCACACAGAATCTACACGTAATTTCGATCGAAAGTAAAAAGAAAAATCGCAATAACGGAAAACATCCTCTGTACCTAATTTTGAACAATCCACACGAAACGGAAAATTCGCTACCACGGAAAAAATCCTTCTCGCTGACGACAGCCACACGTCTCTTTCACTTCGTTTTTAATGTCGCAATTCAATTTGAAAATAAAATTCCGTGACATCAAAGTCCATCGAAGAATTTTCTGTAAATCCTGTTTATGTAAATCTAGTTAAACCGGGATTTTAAGATCCCTGAAATAAATTATGATAAATCTCCATCTACAATCATAACAATAGATCCCAACAATTACGGTTAAATCCTCCAATTTATCCATTAAGACTGACTATCACTCGATTACGTCTACCCCGTTAAATTGTCAAAACAAATCTGACCGAATGTTACGTTTTCCGTGGAAATATATATATACTGCGGATGCGTACTCCCCGTCGGGGCCTCATCTACAGAACTCTGGCGGAAGTTTGGACGCTGCAAAGTTATAAAGTGGGCGGAGCTATTTTTGATTGATCATGTCACAAATCATTTAGAGAACTCGACAGGTTCTGTATCGTAGATACAAATTTGGGGGCGGAGACTCGTGCTTTCGCACTCGTCTGCCCCCAAATTTGTATCTACGATACAGAACCTGTCGAGTTCTCTAAATAATACTTTTTTTTTTCATTTTTTCTCATTTTACAATTTATTAGATGCCTATTTCTTAATACAAGCCAGAGATCCAGTGAATAAATCTACACTAACTCCATAGAGAAATATATAAGATTTTTATGAATAAATAAAAACAAATCTCTCGTTAATTTTAAAGGAAAAAGAAATTGAAGAGAAAGATAATGTAAGTTTGACAGATGACTATGCTGATGAAGCAGTAATGGAAACTGGAAAAAGTGTGGCAAAATGGAACAAAGCCGGAATTCAAGGACGGGAGGCAACTATTGGAATGGCTCGAAAGAAAATTGCCATATCTGGAGGTACTTAAATGTACAAAAAAAACCCACATATATAAGGTGACATTATGATTAATCATGGCCACATTTTTACTTGTATTTTATTTTCAGCCATTTGCTCCCGAAGACGCTGTGCATTACTATTTCAACAGACAGTGGAGTCGGCAAAAATCGGAACTTAAACTCGAAGTATTAGTTGCAAGTGTATAAACATATCTGTTTTTTTTTTTTTAGCTTCTCTTGAATATTAGAATAAATGTTGAGATTTACTTCAAGAAGTTTAATGTTCGTGTAATTACAAAATTTTGTCGTTTTTATTCAAGGAAGAAGACAGTGAGAACGAGAATGAAACTACTGACCACTGCAATCATGGAGATGACAAAAGCTTGGAAGTGAGTCCGCATACATGTATATACTAGTATTTTAATTTCGTTTAAGGATACACCAAAGGTTTCCAAAGGGCAAGATTTAATTTGCTTGTAATTCTTTCATTAACAAAGATAACATATTAAAAATATATATCATTTGAAAGCTTATTAAATTCACTAATTAATGATGTTAATTTAATTTTTCATTTTTATCTTATTAAAAATATATTTATATTTTAATGTAAATATTAGTGCATTTATATTTTATTAATCAACTTTTTTGTATTCCACCTTTCAAAGTCAAAATTTTGCCTCAATGTTGATTAAAGATTGAACTTTAAAACCGTATCTCAGATTTTTGATAAATCGTTTTATTCAAAAGTTACATCCATTTGTCTTTCAATGTTACCAATTTATTAGCCTAATTCTACATTTCCCCCAATAATTCGAGAACTGAGCAAGATATAAAAAATCTGAGATACGGTTTTGTGAACACACATTTGAGACGCATTAATATTCTGGCCAGTTTTCAGAGAAATTGGTAAATAAATAAGGGAGCTGAATCCTTTCAAATAATACCACCAACTGTCTGATCTTACTTTACAGTAGAGGGCAAAAACCCATTACACAACAAAGTATGCCAAAGCTGGAAATATATGACACCTTGGAGATTCAGCTTTGGATATCTGTCACTTATCCATATTTCCTATGCATATTCACAAGAATGGGAGGTTCTATTCTTTATTTAGGTGCTTTAAATAAAGTAAAATAGGTTCAATTCTGAATCAGAAAGATTTCCCGGCAAAATGGCAAGAGCTAAGCTCCACCTCCTATTTCATAGTCATTAGTGACCTGTTAGATCTCCTTCCCTAAATCTAGAGTCCCTGTAGTTTAATTACTGTGTGGCTAGTGAAGAATTCCCCAAGTGGTCACAGTGATTTATTGCTCCTTTCAGAAGAAGGCAGTTACAGACCAAATCAGAAGCTTCAATAACGGCACATTCACATGTGTTAGTGTTTATGTTTGATTATTGTTAAATAATTAGAACGCCATTAAATAATCAGCAAGAATTTTTCATGCCTTATAAAGCAGTGATTAGCATCGCTTTATTAGCCAAAAATCTCAAAATTGACAAAAATCTTGAAAAAAGCCTTTGGTGTATCCTTAACTATTCTTTATGAATTAAAAATGTTTAAAAAATAAATATTCAGTTCATTGTTAGCAGTGTTAAGTATTTCTGTTTTTTTGAATAAAAAATCTTTTCTATATCATTTTTAGAACAAAGATGACAGAAATCCTTATATTAAAATGATGGCTGGCCCTTTGGTTCTGGAAGGATTTAATTTTAAGGTAAATAATGAACTGATTGTCTTAAACTTGAAAGTGTGTCTTACCAGCAAGTTAAAGGTAATTGTAAAAGAACTGATTTTTTCCCTAGAAATCTGAGCCAAATGAAGATGACACGCCAAAGAATGCAGCCAAGGAGAAAGATACACTTATGATACAGTTTACGAATGAAGGCAATTCTCTGATTGGTGAAAAAATGGTAATATACTAGTTTTACATTTATATTCAAAGTAGATATATATTTTTGTGGTCTCTCGTGCCCAGTAAAGCATATACGCTCCTTATCTTCCTTAGCCAAGGGTGACTTTCCGCTCCTGTCCTCTTTTCACACCATTGGCTATTAAAGATGATCCGCTCCTTAGTCATAAGATTAAAATTGAAATCTTTTCATGCAGGGATTTTCATTTCAAGTTTTATCAATCAATCCTTTTCAAAATTATGGCATAAGAAGAATTTTTGTAATATTTTTTTCCCATTAATAAGTTTTTTTGTATTTATTTTTTAGTTGAATGGTGTCACGATAGCAAAATTCCAATCTAGGCTCCACCCACTTCTACAGAAGAAAGTAAGTTGTATTCAATTTCAAATGACATGTTAAAATAAACGGCCTGTCGTTACGGAAAGAAACATCATTTTGTTAAGACTGAAATATTTATTGTAACCTATTGTTAAGAATATCACAACGTGCTTTTATTATTTCAGAATAAGGATAAAAGGGATCATTTCACAGACGAGAAGAAAGCGAAGAAAGAGACTAAGAAGACGATGTTTTCCTTTTTTCGTCGTGTGTTTGGTTGATGCCTGAGACATCTGTAAAACAAACTATAGACAGAGAATTGTTAAATTATTTATAACTTTTTTGAATTTTTTGTAATACATATCACCTGATTGAACATAAAAATATTTCTATATTGCATTTAATTGTTATAATTGATCATTTTTTTATGGTTAAAACAAGATGTGCTTGTGAAACACCGATGCCCCCGAATGGCAACATACCAAAGGTTAAATTATTTTAAACATTTAAATCAAATATGTTGGTACCAAGAGTAAGACCTTCTCACAAGAAATACAAATGCATGTGAAGTATGAAAAAATCTAACACCACCTGTTCAAAATCTATGGCCCAGGTTGACGTTTTTAAAGGTAGGTCAAATTCTGGGGTCAAAGGGTCAAGGTTGTTGGTATCTCTAGAAAGGCTTTGTCACAAAGATTACATATGGGAAGAAAGAAAGCACTAGGCCTAACTGTTCGAAAGTGATTGCCAAGGTTAAAGTTTTTTAATAAGTAGGTCAACTCAAAATTCAAGGACAAAGGGCCAATGTTGTTGGCATTATATGAAAGGTCTTGTCACAAGGATTATATTTATGAAGAATAAAAGCCCTAACCCTTACAGTTCAAAAGTTATGGCCAAGTTTTAAGTTTATTAAAAGAAGGCCAATCTTCAAAGTAAAGGTCAAAAGGTCAAAGTTGTTGGTATTCAATCGAATGTCTTGTCACAAAGAATAAATTTTTAAAGAATAAAAGTCTTAGCACCAACCGTTCAAAAGCTATTGCCAAAGTTAAAGTTTTTTAAAGTTGGTCAAACAACCAGGTCAAGGTCAAAATCATTGGTATCCAATGAAAGGTTTTGTCACAAAAAATACATATGTGAAGTATGAAGGACCTAGCACCAACCGTTTAAAAGGTATGACCAAAATAGAAGTTTGGGAATTTTGATGTATAAATGTGTCAAACTTCAAGGTCAAAAGATCAAATTTGGTCTGAGAGGTCTTGTCACAAGGTATACATATGTGAAAAATGAAAGCCATAGTCTCACCAAGTCAAAAGTTATGGACAAGATTAAAGTTTTTGCAGACAAACAGACAGACACACGGACGGACAGGATAAAAACTTTATACCCCTGAAACATCGTTTATTGGGACATAAAAAAAAAAAAGAAAAGAAAAAGAAAGTTAGAAGCTCATTGGTTTTATTCTTTGACGTTCTCGTGGAAATATTTTAAGGTCTGATAACACCTTTCTCAATATTGTATAATAAAATTAATATTTTTGGTGTATAGCAAGAAATACAAATAAAATATCCCAACCTTAAGTCGAAAAGAGGAAAACAACAACTAAATAAAAACCACGATTTTTCACGAAATATTATTACGTAAAATTATTATTACATGAATTTTTTTATCACATAAAAAAATAACATGAATTTTATTCCGTGTGCACATAACTTAACAACACAGGTAATTCTACCTATCTACAAGAAAAGTGACGTCACTTATCAAGTATTGATTGTTGTGGAGTGTCCAGGATTTTGGCAGACAGATTGCCTCAGTAAAGATCGATTAGGATCCTTTAATATTGTGCTTCCTACAAAGAATGATTAAATAAAGGTAATTCAATTATGTCTTGGAATAAATAATGTTCAGTACATAAGTATATTAAGTTATAATTTCTCCTTTAAAGTGTTTATTGGCCAACATTTTTATCGAGGCTTCTCATTTGCTAAAAATATACTCGTATGCCAATGCACCTATGTACATAAAAATAATTATGCAGAATGATAACGTGAAAGTGAAACCTCACAACATTTAAAAAAATCATACTTGTGTCTTCCCATAAATTTTTATCAAAATAGAAAATTTAGTAGTAATTATTATTAAAATAAATTACAGACAGATGATACAAACAATTTTTTTGTTGGAGGAGACTTAATATCATGTCACAGGTTTAGAAAGGTTGATAATTCATTGATTTTTTTTCCTTAGACTTGGAGAATGGAACACCTTCCATATTTCCCCCCAAAAGTACACTACTAGAGTAATCATGGTAAAATTGATTGATATCCACCCAATTACCTATTTTTCTTCAAGAATGTTTCTAAATGATCACAATGGGAGCTAATATTGCATTTACTCAATAACCTGTTGTATTCTCTTGCAAAACAGAAATGACACTTGGAAAATATTAGTTAATGTACTGGTTAATGTGAAGGTATTCCATTCTCAAAGTCAAAGTCCTTGGTTTAAACCCCCTTACCCTATGTTTCTATACCAATGATACAGAAATGGAATACATTTAATATATGAAACAATTCATATTGATTTAACGTCATGTCCCCAAACACTCAAATCCACAATGGACTATCAAACTTTACATAAAAAACATAAGCTGATAAGAGAAATCTTAAAAATCTAATGTAAAGGCATATTGGTCATATTGTAATGAAGCATCTTCAGAATGCATGTGTAGCTTCTAGAAAGCTTAAGCTTTTCCAAATCATGAACACCCGGGGTAGGTTTGGGCCCTTATTGGCAATATCAGTGTTACATCTATAGGAAAATCTTCCGAAAAACAGCCTAGTCATTGTTAATGAAATTCATGTGGAAGAATCCTCAAGTACGCATTGTAGATTCAAGTTTGCTCAAATCATGACCACTGGGGGTAGGTATGAACCACAATGAGCAATCAAAGATTTACAAAGGAAAACGTGTGAAACATCTTTTTCCCTGTAAAATTGCTCAGATGAGCATTGTGCCCCCTCCAAACGGGCTTCTTGTATGCTACGTCATACTTTATCCTTAAAAAATTTTAATTAACAAAGTTATTATTAAAGCAGCCCACCCCTTAAACCATGACGAATTCAAAGAAATTGTTATAACGAATTAAATAAGTTGGACAACTCGTTTATATATTTCTTCAAAGGTCCTAAATCGGCTTAAAAAATGTAGAACTTAAGCAAAATTAATTTTCATTTAGATTCCGGTGTAAATACAATCTTTTATTTTATCATTGCCTTAGATGAATAAAAAGATAAACGTATTACTGTTTTCAGAATAATGAAGATCTTCGTCAGAATCATAACTGAAAGGACAATCACTCTGGACGTCGACCCCTCAGATAGCATTGAAGATGTTAAGGCCGAGATTGAGAGAAAGGAAAATATCCCTCTTTACATGCAGATATTACTGTTTTTGGGAAGACCATTGGAGAATGATCGTTCACTTTCCTACTATAATGTACGGGAGGAATCCATTCTTCACTTGGCCCTGCGTTTGAGAAAGGATTTTTAGATCTTCGTTGAGTTCTTTACGGGGGAAACCATCGCTCTTGTGGTTGATCCATTGGATACGATTAAAAATGTCAAGGTAAAAATTCAAAATAAAGAGGGAATTCCTGTATATCAGCAGAAGATGATTTTCGCCGAGAGACAGCTGGAAGATGAACTTACATTGGCTGATTACAATATTCAAAATGAATCAAGACTTCAAATGATCCGACGTTCATGCAGAAAAATGCAGATTTTTGTTAAAACCCCCACGGGAGGATCTTTTGCTCTTGATGTTGAGACATCTGACACCATTGGAAAGGTAAAAGATATGATTCAGGAGAAGGAAGGTATTCCTCGAGATTTGCAGAGACTGGTGTACGTAACGTATTTAAGGGATGAGCTCACCCTTAATGACTATGCAATTCCAAAGAACTGCATGGTTTTCCTCAAATATAAAAGCGTGATTCCTTCCTGTCGGTAGTTTAATCCAAATACCAACAGATTTTGAAATGTATCGAATACTTTTTTTTCAATTTTATAGCATTAACAGGAGAATGTACTGATTGTACAGTTCAGAGATAAATGCTCCAGATTTAAGCTAGACATTAATTCCAAAGCTAAACGAATCTGGATTTCAATTATTTTTTATGCCCGCGTAATCACATAGTCGGGGTATATAGTTTGTGCTTTGTCTGTCCGTCTGTCTGTGTGTCTGTTTCTTTGTCCCCAATAACTTTAATCTTGCTCATAGCTTTTAAGTGGGTTGGGCTATGATTTTCATATTTCAAAGGTGTAATGAATTGACAAGACCTTAGTTTCTTTTGGAACCACCAATTTGATTTCTTGACCTGGACTTTAGAGTTTGGCCCCATTTTACAAAAATAATATCACATTTTAACGCTGGTCATCACTTTTAAATTGTTTCACATCTGTATTAATTGTGACAAGAACTTTCAGTGTGTTCACAAGTAATTATTTTTGACCTTTTGACCTTAGAATCTGACACACTTTTTAAAATCTTTAACATGGCTATAACTTTGTAACAATTGAGACTAGGGCTTTTATAGATCACAGGTGTATTCCTTGTGTCAAGACCTTCATTTAAATACCAATAATTTTGACATCAAAAGTTTGACATGCATTTGAAAAAAATAAACGCCATAAGAAGTTATACGGGGCATCAATGTTTCACAAAACATAACGAAAAATTTAAAAAAAGATTTATGTATAGTTTTGCTACAATTAATTGGTAAATTTTACTAAATGTTATCGATTGTAAAAAGACCCGCGTTTATCTAGTCTCTTCTAATTTATATTCAATTTGTTGTTATTGTAAAAGTGGTTTTAATTTGCGAAAGTCTTATCGGTTGTTTTACTGGGCTTAGTCATTGTGAATACCGGTATGCATAATTTTTAAAGTTAATTTCTCTGGATTCCGTAGTCCAATGTACGTCTATATTATTGAAGTCTTTCAAAAAAATTCAGGCACTCAGGGTTGCAAGAAACAAGTCTTATCTAAAAAAAAAAATAAGTCTAAACTGAGAAATCACTGATAAATATGGACTTTCAAGCAACAAGTATTGATGGATTGTATGAAGGCTTTAACTAAATCACTATCAGCCCAGCAGATCTACATATGTATTGATGACGTCTTATTGATGTACTATAGTTTTTTTTATTCATGGATTGTTTTATGTTATATCTTATTGAACTCGAAATAAAAGGCACCACTTAGTCTGCTTCATATGTTGGCTTTCGTAGAGAAAGGCATGGATGTTAGACTAACAACTTCACTTCACCTTTTTTATCGTAAACTTTTCTTATCTATGTAAGA